AACGACATTGCTTGACGCGAACCAAAAAATAGTTTTCGAAAATCATTGTTACATTGAAAAGTATTACATTCTAATAGGTTCTTGTTGCTTGTTCAACAGGTTCTTTCCTAATCAATGGTGCATCTCGAGTCCAGTGATTGTTTTCGCCGTCATGATGCTCGTGTACACCTTTTGTTCACTTCTTCCATCTCCTCCTGTGGAAAAAAAAATGTTCCTGGTGCTGGCTTCCCGCAGCTAGTCCATGTGCGAAAGGCGATTGTCAAATAGAGATTTGACAAGAGAGGCAAGAACTGAACTGCATGGGGTGATCATGTTGCTTTTTTTTCAAGTGGTAGGGTAATCAGTTTTACGTGTGGGTGGAAATCAGCACAAATCGATGTTTTTGGTTGGAACATACACGGTAGATTTGTTCAAGCAATCTTGCGCCGCATACAGGACAGCAAAACGCTGCTTGATGTATATGGCTGATATTAGCTGCAAGCAAATTACCATCAACTTCCCCCTACCTTCCCCCTGAGGTAGCAGTCCCCGGTATTTCGGGGCCCTGGATCTAAGCTAGGAAGTTATGAACACTTGTGGTCAACTGTCGGAGGGTAGCACCTTTTTTGCAGCTATGCTAGCAAGTCTTGAGCCACGGAGTGGCGCAGTGGATGAAATGAATTAAAGTCAACATGTCACATTAAAGTAACATGAATTAAAGTGAAGTTTAGATGCGTTGTGTGGACACGTCCCCAAAAGTAGGTTATACACCCCCCGCCAACCCACCAGCCACAAATCCCGCCCAGCCGGCCAACCGGCCATCCGGCCACCCCGGCCATCCCGGCCACCCGGCCACCATCCCTATACCGACCACTCGCCATCCGGCCATCCGGCCATCCGGCCACCCGGCCACGGCCACGGCCACCCGGCCACCCGGCCACACGGCTATATTCACCATCCGGCCACCCGGCCACGGCCACCCGGCCACCCGGCCACCCGGCCACCCGGCCACCCGGCCACCCGGCCACCCGGCCACGGCCACCCGGCCACCCGGCCACTTCCCCCATCGCCACGGCCACGGCCACCCGGCCACGGCCACGGCCACGGCCACGCACGGAAAAAAGCAATCCTCATCTTGGGGCTATGTTGGCCCAGCTTGGGGCTATGTTGGCCCATCTTGAGGCTATGTTGGCCTATGCCTATGCGCACAAAGTGTTGTAATTTACAGCATTTTGCACTGTGAGATGGCAAGAACCCGTGTAAATACCACAGCTTTAGTCCCCGAAAGTGGCAACACTCTTATTTACAGAGTTTCGTTCACATCACGATCTTCGATTTTTTAAGAAACGTGTAAATACCAGCGTTTTTTGCATTCATCAAGACAACAAATCGGTTCAAAAAGTGCAAAAAATGCTGTAATTTACAGGGGAGTGGCCCCGTCACAAGCAAAAGACTGCGTAAATGCCAGCGTTTCGGCGTCCAAAAGTTGCCAAAACACCGCTATTTACAGTGTTTCGTGCCTTCCACGGTTGCTTGAAATTGCAGAAACATTGTAAATACCAACATTTTTTGCGATCAACCCGCCAAAAATGCTGTAATTTACACTGTTTTTTCAAAAACACTGGTATTTGCAGTGTTTTGTGCATCTCGGGTCCAAAAAGTACTGGTATTTACAGCATTTTCCGCGTTTTTGCATGGCTGCCGCCAACGACGTTAAAACGCAAAAATGTTGTAATTTACAGCATTTTGTGATTTCCGAAAAGCGAAAAATCGTCCGAAAAATGTGTCAAAACGGCACTTTTTTCCGATTTTAGGACCTCCAAAACGCATCTTCAAATTTCACCCTCTTTTTGTCCACCCCAGACCCCGAAAAACGTGAAAACCCCACCAGGCTAAAGGATTTTTGGGAGGGTCGGCGGCAGGCGCGCGCCCCCAGGTAGCTAAAGCTATGCTTAGCTTCCACCACAAACGGCGTCGCCGGATTTAAGCGCTTACGCGCGACCGCCGGCCAGGGGCCCAACTATGTTGGCCCATCTTGTGGCTATGTTGGCCTAGGTTGGCTGAGCTTGGAGCTATGTTGGCCCAGCTTGGGGCTATGTTGGCCCATCCTGAGACCTATGTTGGCTCATGTTGCCCCATGTGGAGCCAAAAGATCCAAAAAATGGGAAACAGCAAAAAAACACTGTAAAACGCAGAATATTTTGATGGTCGGCGGCGTATCTTGGGGCTATGTTGGCCCATCTTGGGGCTATGTTGGCCCATCTTGAGGGCAATGTGGGCCCATCTTGGGGCTATGTTGGCCCATCTTGGGGCGATGTTGGCTCATCTTAGAGCTATGTTGGCCCATCTTGGGGCTATGTTGGCCCATCTTGGGTTCAATTGTGTTCAGTGTTTTTGTATTTTTTGGATCGCACGTTGATCGTTGATGGACGGTTGACGATGTATTGATCGTTGATGGCCACCGGCGGCGGCGGCGGTGCCATTGCCACCTCCGCCACTGCCGCCGCAAATGCACCAGGCTGTTCGAATGATTTGCGCAGCGTGTGATATTCATGATATATCCATGATATATTTATGATTTGAGAAGCTTTGAGCATGCTTTGAGCAGAAGGTACATGAGTTGCACATGAACAGTCAATTATTTCTCAAACGTTCAAATAGTGATGCACTACGAGGAAGTACCAGTATGTTGCTTTCGCATGAGCTTCTCATATGCTCTCATGTTTTCACAGTGGTATAGTGTTCTCGTTCGTCCTTTGCATAGCTCTTCATGTGACCATGTCGGCTTAGGAGGCCCGTAGCTAGGGCAATTTGCTCGGCCACAGGGATTTTGAAGAGCTATTCTATCCTTGCTGCATGCGCCTGTGGTTGGTTTGCTGTTTGCACTTTTGTGACCGCGGCAGGCGTGGACATCGCAGTCAATGGGAACGCTTCCAGTGTAACACTCAGCGTGCAGTTGTTCTGACCCCACCAAGGATAGTTGCAAGTTTTGAATAAGTTTTGGGCTGTTCAAACGTTGATAGATCACTGCACTTGCCATGCACTTATCCAGTGTAAATGTTATTGGAATGTGCTTCAAATTTTGTTCGACATTCGTTTGTGCAATCTCAGCGTGATTTGGTCACAAGGTGGTGCAAAGAACATTCCCGCCATGGGGCGCTCCGCCCAGTCATGGACTGAGGATGACAGCAGTCCTGCTGCCGTCTTTGTGACAGCTTTGTGATCATTTTTCCAACATGTGTCATGTCATTGTCATGTCCTTGGCTTTCATGTCAATGTGGGCTTTTCCGTTTTCAATGGGTATGCCTGATATTTGCACTGCATTTTGATACAATGCATGTATAACGTTTTAGATGACATCGCTGTTATCCAGTGCCGAGGCCTGACCCGTGTACGTCCTGATCAAGCTGGCAGGGGCTTTTACTTTGACGATCACTTTTGCAGCAATGATGGCAGATGGTTCGCGCAGGGGGCCTCAAGAGTTTGCCTGCATTTCTTGGGCGGCTTTTGCGGCTGTCAGATACTGCCGTTCGAGCTGCATTGCTGCATGAATGTCTTCAGAGCTTCAGCGCGCTGCAAACGAATCCTGTGGTCATTGTTTGCAGATCTTTCCACACCCTTGCTTTGTTCCATCTATGGCTCTACCATCGTTTCTTCCATGGAGTGCTTTCCATGGTTTGCCTGCGCGCTGCGCGCGTTTTATGATTTTGTCACGGCTGCTTTCTATACTCCCTACATAAGTCAAGTATAGGGAAGTATGGGTACATTATAGGTATAGTATAGATACATTGCAGGTACATTGTAGGGAAGTATTTGAAGAGCTCATCAGAATGATTTCAGCGTGATATCGCAATGATATCAAACTGGATTCAGGCTGGTTTGGAAATTTGTGAAGTTCAGTCGCTGAGAATTTGCTGTGTAGATCCTTTGTGAGCCCGTCGCGACAAGACAAGTGAGACCTGGCCTTGGACGCTTTCGTGGACGCGGAAACAAAGGAAGACCCACGAATCTCGAGGCGGACAGCAACCTGATGCCAGAACTATGCCAGAACTTTTTGGGATACTAGCCAGCGTTTTGCACTTACATGGTTGTAGCATGGTTGTCGCTAGGATTTTAGTTTAATCTTGCGCTCAAGATCAGTGGTTTGAGCATTTCTTTTGGCGGATGTCAGTGTGGCATCCGCATGCAAAGCATTTGCAGAGCGAGGACCTTAGGATGGACTTGTCTGCAACTGTTACAATACAATTTCTGCATTTCATACTTCTTCTTCACGTTTCCAAGATTTGTTTGTCACTGTGTGGAGTTCGACGTGGTTCCACCGTCCCGGCAGGCATTGCGATGGGGGGCCGTGTCAGACCTGACATCTATGTTGAGATCGCAACAGGACATGATGATTTGAGCATCGACCCAGATGAACAGCACTCCTATCATCCTTTAGTGTCTGAGTTGACCTGAAGCTGCCGGTAGATCATTCAGCGAGACTCTAGCTGCTCACAAAGCTTCGGTGTAGCTTCAGTATGCTTCGGCGTTGGCCATCACCGGCAAACTTGGCAAAGTCACAGGTTATTCTATAGTACGTCACAAACGATGTTAAGATTCAGGCAACCAGGTAGCCTAAACATAACCCGTATATAACCCGTCACAAACCTCACATAAACCTCACTCTAAACATCCAAGTCAACTCCAATATTGACGATGCTGAAGCTTCCAACATCTTCCAACGCGTGCAATCTGGAAAAACGCTGACGTCGGCTTCACGTTCCATTGGTGTTTGTGCCTCCATGGCTCACGCATGCACCACATGTAAATTCATAATACGTACATAATGCGTACATGACGCAAATATTTCAGAGCATCTTCATATCATGTTTGGATCATGTTTGGCGTAACTACACTTTCTGTTTCCGCGCTTGCCGTTTGTTGTGGCGCGAATGCGTATCGAATGTGTATGAAACTTTTCGAAAAAGAGGAACATATGATCTGCCAGGAAGCCGACAAGCAACGCATTGCAAGTGGCAGCGATGAGATTTTGCGCCAATGGCGGAGGAGTTCATGCGGAGTTCGACGATGACGAGGAGTTGGATGTGTTTTTTTCTTGCATTAATGGAACAACGATCGGTCCAGAGGAATTTTAGGTGTTTGCGTCTGAGCAACAACTGATAGTTAGTGAGAATAACGGTAGCAGGAACGACAAATCTTTGTATCAATAATGTGGGTCAGGTCTTGGTATGTAGCCCCAGAGCTGTAGTGGTGCAACCCTGCCAGGAATGCTGGTTGATTTGCTTGGAGCATCAGGCGCGTCCATCGGTGCTTTACAATTTGAAGAACGAGCTGAACCGCTACTTGGCAGAGATGGCTGGCAACCAACGGCGTGGTCCGAAGAACGTTGATGAACTTGTGCCTCGGTTGCATGGGTGCAGCGGCAGTAAAGAGATTCAATTGGAGTTTTTGTGAGTAAGTGGTGGTGGTGAGGGCCCAGCCAGCTGAGGTGACTTATGCACAGATGGCCTGGCGTCTGGGGGCTGGTCCACAGTACTACAAGTGTCTGTACATTGGAGGTGGCTCTACAGCCTTTGCGGCAGGATCGGCAGGCATGTGCCATGTGGCCAACTACATCAAGTGGCGTTCTGGGAAGGAGTCTATCACGATCTCGGAAGTTGAGCTGTGGAGCCCGCAATGTGGGGAAATGAAACGCAAAGATGCATTCACCAAAGCACATTGGAAACAGGAAACTTACCGTGTCTGCAAAGAATGCACAGCGCAGAAACGCGAGGCAGGCACACCATATCGATGCACGCAGTGCGGCCTGTGGCACGCTGCAACACACTTTGCGTCAAAGCACCACAACCCGCGATGGAGCATGTACCGAGTATGCTTAACCCGTGATGCAGTCAAGCAATGTTTTATTTGCAAAACAAAACAAACGCAGGAATATTTCGGCACCGCAGCATGGAAAGCTAGGGAACCGAAACGAAGAGTTTGCTTGCAATGCCAAACCAAAACTCGTGGCTCTTGGACGCGCACGGCCTGTCAACAACGGAAGCCCCAGCAGCAATTTTCCATTTTTATCTCCACGCGACCCTCTGGGAAAAGCGGAGCTCAGATGTGCAACACATGCCGTACCGCCATTGTGCAGGATGCTATCCGCAAGCGTGCTGCCACGTCCGCCACGGCGCGACTGGAACCTCTTCGCAAAAGAGCCCGCCACATGCAGGTTCTACGTGACACCTGGGAAGCGATTGCAAGAAACCGAGGCAGCCAAAAACGGCAAGCCAGTGACACCACGGCAACCCCCGTTTCACAGACAAAAGAGAACACCAAAGAATGTCAAGAAGTAACAAATACCACCTTACGAGCGTATGTCTGTCCAGCCTGCGGCAAAGCTACAAAATCCACAATAATTACCGGAAAGGTGCTAACACAAGGACATTGCGGACGATGCTTTCGTGTCAAGAATGGTGCAGTGTGTAGGCAGTACACCCACTATTGTCCGGCTTGCAACACGAAGGTGACATCAACAAAATCACACGGACGAATACAATCGAAGCACAGAAATGACACAGGACGATATTGTAAAACATATCAGTGGACCAGTGCCGGCCCAAAGTAAGTTGTCATCTTTGAATTTGAATTATTCTTCTCCTCCTTCTTCTTCTGTTGCTGTTGTTCTGCTGCACCGGCTGCTGCTGCTGTCACCACCTAATTTCATGCCGAAAAGGATGCAAAATCGCAGCAAAAAAGTCCCAGCAAAAAAGTCCCTAACTGCAGCTGCCTCTGCTCACCCACAAAGAGACTGACTGCTGGCTACTGGCTATGTGCAGTTCTACCCTATAGAATAGAAGTGGTAGTAGTTCGAAACAAGGGTCATATGTCTCCAAGGCGAGAAACCAACAGCTAGAGATGCTGCTGCTGCTCCATATGTACTACTGGCTGCCTGCTGGCTGCTACAAAAAAGATGCGTCCCGGACAGGGAAACACCATGGCTGGGCGCTCCTGCTGTGTTGCAGCTGCAGCTGCAGTTTTAGCTACTTTTGGCTTCTGCTGCTGAAGCGGTGCTGCTCACCCACAAAGAGACTGACTGCTGGCTACTGGCTATGTGCAGTTCTACCCTATAGAATAGAAGGAAGTGTTAGTAGTTCGAAACAAGGGTCAAATGTCTTATTCCCCGGCGCGCTCCCCCTTGCGTCTGCCGGGGTCGGCGGATATTTTGGTGAAACACTTTTGAAAAAGGATTCGAAAATTAGAGTTCCGAAAAATAAGGAACTATATTTTTTTTTGGAATTATATTTTGGTGAAGCACTTTTTGAAAAAGGATTCGAAAATTATAGTTCCGAAAAAAAAAGTTTTTTTTTTTGAATTATCTTTTGGCGAAACACTCTTTCGCTTCCACTTTAGTAGCTAATTAGCTAAGTAGCTTATCGGTTGTCTTCCGTTTGTGTTTAAGTCGTTTTAAGTGTTTTAAAACTTATGACAGTACCTGCAGATATATAACGTTTTTTTGTTTTTTTTCCTATAGAGGCTAGGGTTTTTGAAATTTAGCACCCTATTTTAGGTTGGTAATAAGTAATAAGGGTGATTATAGCGGTTGTATGGTAGTTATGAGCCATTCTCAGACATTATATACAACCATTCAATTTTAGTGGGTGTAGCCACTATTGAACAATGTCGGGAAAGCCAAGTTGAACGATTGGGTCATGGTAGATATATGCACTAATGCATGGTCTTTATATACAAGGTGGTGCCACCCAGTTATGTGTGTTGGGTCTAGTTTCACGCCATTAACTAGTTCGATACATCTACCATAACGCCAATCATCAAGCTACTAAAAAATCAACCAATTTAGCCATCTTTAATCTTTTTCCCCCTTTTCCGAGAAGGAATTTTCACATACCCTCTGGTTATTTGTTACATAGCCATGGGAAATGGCCCTAATCGAAATAGATGGCTTACCGGTTTACCTATTAAAAATGGTGATTTTCCATGGCTATGTAACAAATTTCAATAGCTCCGAAAATTTCGAAGCTCAACTGGGGCCCTTCAGCCGGGGCTTTTGGGATCACCACACTGGATGTGGTGTGTTGGTGTTTGGCTCGCCATAGCCGCAAACCATGATGAGACACAAAAGGGGGACTTACTAAACTAGGGTTACTATATAATTATAATTAATTATATATATATATACATATCTATACACATATAACCAACCATTCACTAAGTGGAATGATCTTCCAAGTATTGGACTTTCATGGTCATTTTTTTTTGATGGACCCTAAAAAATCATCGCGCAACGCGACACAGTGTCACAGGACAGTGCTGGTGATGCTGCCAGATCTATGGGTTGCATGGGGCTGCAGGCGATTTGACCATCCCTCCAGATAACATGGGCCGATATGTGAAGGGCCGATGCTTCTTGTAGTCTATCAGTCTATGAACATTCCGATTGTTTTTTTTTTTAAGTGGGTCGAACGTGAACCTGGGTCCTTTATTGTTTAAACCTTCCACTTTAAACCTCTATTTTATCCCACAATTTTTTTGGTGGGCTCGGCTCCAGATGTTTTTTCGTGAATCGCCTGGAAGTTCTGGGTAAATCATTGCTGGCCCAGGCGGCGGAACACGTGAAGCAGGTGGCGCACCAAAATCGCCTGGGTGAACGGGCGCAGGATGCCTTCAGTGGAGTGTCTCGGACGGGAAGCGGAGTTGATCATGTTGTTCCCAGCAAAATGATGGATAGCCAAGGGTGTTAGCAAGCGATTAGTTCACCTTTGATTCATTTGCATTTTTTTTTGTGGTGGTTAGTTAGTAATTTGATTTTACTTAACGATTTATGATGTTTTATTGTTTATCCTGAAACGCATCATCACCTTTGGAAAATGGGAGTGACATTCTTGGTTAGTTCATCCTGCATTTTATTGGTCAACACTAGAGGTCAAACCTGGCTTTGACCCACTTTTTCATAGTTCAAATCCTTGGAAAAGGTGTGGATTTTCATATCTATGATGAAACAATTTACCATGGGGAAGGATTTTGAGGGGGTTAAAGTCGTGCTTGCATCGCCCAGCCCGAATAGAATTATTACGGTGGAAACTCTGAGTCGGGATCTCTAAAGAACCTGAACAACGGGCCTCATAGAGTTGATTCACATGGAAACTGGGAGTTGGGCTGTTAGCCAAATTTGGGCCAAATGGGTCTGAAAATGGTTGGTATACCCCTACTTTGGGCCCAGATTGTGAGAGGATTGTGATTCATGTCGCTAAATGGTGAGGTGCACTGGCTTCTTGGTAACATGTTTTGTACGTCTACTGGTTGTTTCGTATATAGGTACGTCTACTGGTGTGTGCAATGTGTGTATTCAGGATATGTTCATCATAAGCATAGCAGTAACATGTAACATATTCCACACCAAGCCCGACATCGCGGCGTTTGGCTTCGAGACGACAATCGATATTTCGTATTGGGATGATCCCAACTTACTCATTACCCTTATGTATCCTTATGTACTTGAGCAGTTTTCTAAAATGTTAGAGTTTTTTAGGTGGGCTGAAATATATTCATGCTCGCAAAAGCAAAAAGCCAGATAGCAAAAGCTGCGCGTTTCGCCAAGTGGAAAGACGCCGTCGCGACAGCTTCGCTAAAGCGTTTGCTCAGTAGAAAACCTGTTTCAACAGGATTTTGAACACTGCTCACTTGTCCATCCTTATTTACCACAACATGCCATGTTACATGTCGATCTTTATGGTCGATTTGATCATATTTGATCATCATATAGATCATCATATCAACCATAAAACATACCATATAACATATAATATTGATATATCATCCATATATTGCCAAATATATCATCCAATAACCAATGATATTGATATATCATCCATGATGAATTTTGCTACTCGTTTTGCCGAGGTCCGCTCTTTTGATCAACGCTGGAGGGTCTCTGAAAGAACTCAGGCCACCAGGGGGGATACGATCATCTCGATGGTCAACGGTTGTGGGACAGCGGCTGGTAGCCTACCCAGCTCTTCCGGAGTCAAACTTATTCAATGGCCATATATACCCTCTGGTTATTTAACATAGCCATGGTATAGATGGCCCTAATCGAAATAGATGATTTTCCCAGCTAGAAACCTCCATTTATAAGGGATTTTCCATGGCGATGTTAAATAACCAGATGGTAAGGCCCATGTAAGGGAATATCCCCAGAATTCATATGGCCAGAAATATGGTACGTTTACGTACCTCCATAAATTGGATCCTGGAGATCTCCCATTGAATTATTGACTCATATTGACTTCACTTTCCGTGAAATGGGTGAATCTGATTTATCCTCATCTGGTTGGTGGTTTGGAACATGAATTTTATGATTTTCCATATATAGGGAATAATCATCCCAACTGACTAGTATCTTTCAGAGGGGTTGAAACCACCAACCAGTCATATTAGTTTGTCACAATATGTCACAATATGTCGAACTATATCCTATTTATTCTCATATTCACCTTGATGAATCTGATTTATTCCCAGATGTTTCTGAAAATAGGGTATACTCTCCATTTTAGGCCAGTTTTTTGGGGAACATGATGAGTTTCACCATGGGATTTTGGGGCTCCCGAAATGCAAACCGACAGGCCTTGGCGAGTAGCAGTGTGAGCACTCTGCGAGACATTGACGAGAAACACCAGGCGCTTTTTTGGAACACGTTCTGGTCGTTCTGGTCATCTGGGCTTTGAAATGGGCTACCTTTGAATCCATATCTAGGTCAATCTTAGATGGATACTTACTGTAAATCCTTTAGTCTTTTGGTATCAATGAGAATATCTACTAACCAGCAAAGAATTTAATTTTTTGCAGGGCATCTAAGATTGGCAATGATATGAAAAACATACAAAATTTCTACTCAAATTGCCATTTAACAAGGTTTATGATGGTTTATGGTAGATTTGTCGAACAGATGAGGTTTATGAAACACTGGGCACGACCTTGGAACTAGTCACCAAAAAAAAACCATTTATGGATATTTATGGCAGAGTAGACCAACCAGTTTGACCAGCTTCAGCCCCTGCCCATGTGTGTGTGTTGATTGTAGCATGCTATCCCAATTCTGGATCCATGAGAAAATTCAAATCTTTATAACTAAAATGGATATAGAACCTATTCATACATGTCCATCCAATCATATGGACCCAGATGATTTTGCGCTTGATTTTCCACTAACGGCATTTTACTACCCAGTTTGGAGTGATGATCAATTAACCTAGGGGTAATCCGGTAACCCGTTAAATAAACCATGCGGAATTGGTTAGAATATGGGTCGTCCATTATAATCCATCGAGATTTTAAATGTGTTTCATCGATTGATTTATCAATTATTACATATAACATCAATCAATCATATAGGTATATATCTATGTATATTATATATATATGTATAAATATCACTCATATATATATACACAATATACATATATATATACATATGTATAACCCATATTTTACATAAAGAATATATTTTGTATAACATATATTTTACCTTTATAACATATAACATATATGGTGACGAGTCGCAGGTCACCGCCAACGTGGCCAGCGGCGCCAAGCGCGCCTCCGTGAAGCTGGGGGAAGTGCTCTCGCCGGCGGCCAGTTGGGCCGGGACGCCCCAGGGTTTCATGGGACGAGTCGCTACGAAAAACCTTGGGAAATCCATGGAAAATTGTGGGGAAATGCTGGTGAGAACTCGATTTTTATCTGGTTCCAAACTGGAAGTGAGGTTGAAGAGCTTTTAAGACATGGTGGTGAAATGGATGGTTTTGGGGTTATAGTGGTATTATAGTGAAATGGTATTTTCAAACTATATCCATCCAACCATCCAAAGCATTCCAAAACCATCCAACACTTCAAATATTTCGTACAGTGGGATTATAGTGGGATTATCGTGAAATATATCTCATCTGGGATGAAACATGGGACTTGAAGGGTGATGTTTGTTGGTAAGCCCAGCTATAGTTAAATAGTTAGATATGGTTAGCAGAAAGCAGAATTAGTTAGCTATAGTTAGATATTCACATTTTACTGAGGATTTGTTTTTGACTTGTTCATATTCATCGATATTCTACCTACTCCAGGATGACTGTGCATGTAAGATGCCGCCCTGCCAGCGATGTTTGTTGGTTTACAATTCCATTCACTATAATGATAAAGCCACAATGGGGATGAAGATAGCAACAAATTTCATGGTTGACTAATATGGTTTATGTCATTTCTATTCCCCATAAACCGTAGTTAGTTGTGGTGTAACATGATTTTTAATGGTTTATATTCCCATTTTATCCATCGAAAAGAACGAGACTTGGCCAAGGAAATTCCTAGGGGATGAACGTTGCAAAAAATTCCCAAGGAAATGTTGGAAACAAATTCGACTGTTTGGGTTTTATGGATATTTTATGGATAGTTTCAGCAATGAGAACAAAATATACATGATTAATAACATCCTGGATAAAAAACACCTGGGAATATACATCCTGGAT